TATATAAAATAAAAATATGCATAAAATTTGAAAAGTGAATTGTACATATTCTATTTTTGAAGTGAATATTTTGTTTTTCATCTTTTCCAAGCACATACCAAGCTACTAGAAGCAGAATAATATCCTATTCAAATTGATATAAGATAAGAATTTGAAATTTTATTTCAAATTTTTATCTTTTTTTATCTCTCAAATTTTTATTTTTTTTCAGTCGTTGTAAACAGCAGTCATACCGAATCCATAAATCTTTTATTAATTCTTTAAATTTTCCTGTCATTGTAATGATGTTAATAAATGAGTGATAAGTAAGAGCATAAGTAAAAGCCATCTGTTGTAAAGACAGGTGTCAGAGAAAACACTGGGAAGGATGAAAAATTGCGTTGAAATAAATGCTAACTAATGATCGTTTTTTGCTCATATCATTGTTCTTCTGTGTACCGTATGGATAAAAACTATTAAATAAATGGAAGTAATACCTGATCTTCAGTTCTATCCTCAACTACTTGCTCTTCCACTCCTTCATCTGCTACCATTTGTATTTTTTCCTCATCAATTCCTGTTTCATCTAAAATTGATCAAAAGCAATGAAAATTTTAAAAGAAACTTTCAAAAATCTTCAAATGATCTATTAACCAGAAAAATTATTCTTAATTTAATGAAATTATAAATTAAGCATTTAATGAAAAACCTCATATAACAAAATCTAATGCTACATAACAAGAAGAAAATTCATGAATTTATTTTATAGTACTGTTCATGTATCCCTACCATAAATGAGCTTGAAAAATTATAATATGAATGGGAAGCTAATAGCTAAATGAATTAAATTCCGTGACTTATCATTCCTCTGATCGTCCGTTTATTCGAAACGTCAGTATTGCTTGAGATAAAAGTTCAAAAAAGAAGAAAAAAATTTTTCGAGAAATGATCATGGAACAGTGTGACATTCGTACCAGTTTCTTTATGGTCCAGTTCATCTTCAACCTCGACCCTTCCGACAGCTTGCTCCATTATCTTCATAGAGTTTAGCTCATTATTTTCTACCATTGTTGATAATTCATCTTCCTGTTGTTCTTCTAATGCCGCTCTTTCATCCATCTCTTTTACCTAAATAAATTTTCTGCATGTATACCTGAGTTCATTGGTTCTTTTTTGCATCACATTCCTCTACAGCTCCGTCATTTTTCCTTTCATTTTTGAATTCCTATGAATCTTGTCATTCCCATTGCTTAATGATACACGCAAAACTATTGGTACCAGAAGTAAGGATTAATGAAGTTTCGTACAATTCAACTTAATCAACCTGTTAATTTTCTCAAGCATTTCCTCACAACATATAAAACACATCATACCTCATTGAGTTCATCGCTTCTCATTTCCTCCAATGCTACTTCACTAGCTTGACAATTTTCAACGTTCAATGGCTCATCATTGAGGGTGGCATCATCTTCCCCAATCTTAGTTTTCATTTCTTCCGTGTCTATACCATTTACTCTAGAACTATGTCGATTGCACGGTTGATTGTCGCAATAACTATCTCTCCCTCTCTCTCTCTCTCTCTCTTTCTCTCCCTTCCTCTCAATTAATCACTGATACTAATAAAAAAGAATTCACCTGATTGCCTTATTACTTAAAAAAAATTTAATTGGAGCATGAAGTGCTACTATAGTTATTTCTCACAATTATAAAGTACTATAAAAATACGGAAGAATGATAACTCACTGAATTGTCCTGCCATCTTCAACTTCAGCCATTCCAATAGCAATTTAATCTATTTTAAAACTTTTAAACAGCAGCAGCAAACTACTTTTATTTCTTTTCTTCTAATATTCCTATCGAGACTGAGGCAATAGTGAAGCCTCTTCCCTCTGCAATTAAATCGCCGTTTTTTACAGCTTTTAATATCAAAAATGCTTTATTAAAGTTGAAATGATTCGATATCCATACAGTATTAGAGATAGGTAATCTACATCTGAAGGTGATAAAGATAAATGACAAAGCATACTACAGTTTAACTGCAGGAAAAATCAATTTTAACAAAAAAATTCAATTTCCAATTCTCTATAAACTGATTTACTTTCATTTGTTGGAACTATCATACTTTCCTCGTTACAAGCAGTAAATTTTCACCAGTAAGTTAAAAAAAATTGATATATTGGTTTGGTGCAAGTGACAAAAAATGGAGCAATTTGTCATTTATTCCAAATCAAAGAAATAAGATTAAGCTTAGGTTCAAATGAATTATGTCTAATACAATGCACGAAAAGATTTTCTTTTTTGAAATAATAAACTTACTTTTAATGTTCTTTTTTTGTAATCTTTCCTTCGAAAGATTACTCAGCGACTCCAAATTTTTAACTGCAAATTAAAACCAATCAATAACAATATATTTCAATCATAAAAAAGTGCAACAATTCGAATGATAAAATTTATTTCAATTTTACTGAGAAGAATAATAGATGCTTTAGATGAAATTATCAATACTGTTCGAAGCTTGATGATACATTAAATGCTCTTTTACTTCTTGAAATATAATTAAATCACTAGTAATTTTGAAATTCTAGATTGGATTTAAAGTTGTGATTTGGATGGTGAAAACAATCAAGATGTATGTTAGCAGAGTTATTGCTAAGTACAATGGGATGAATGAATGTTATAAGATTGGCATGGTTTACATTTATGAGGAATGAATTCTAACAATTTTAATAATTAAATGAATATTAATAATTTCACACTTATTTACAGCAAATGTTTGCAAAAAATTTTTCAAAAAAATCTTAAAAATGCAATAGTAATATAATATAATGTGAAACAGCACCGGTGATAATTTTTTCACTTTTTCATTTTCCATATTTTCCATATTGCGAATGAACAGAAGTTGATTTGAAGTCAAGTAACAGTAATTATATTTCGTTAAAAACGAATCACTCTGTATTAATCAGTTATAATTCGTATTCGAAAAGTTTCTCCTAAACGGATTCATGAAATCGATATAAAGCAAAAAATTTTCCCAAATATTTGAAAATTTTTCTGCTGTTGACTTAAGACTTATAAATTTTGAGCATTTTTTTGAAATTACTAAATTAATATAATTATGATATCCTGAAGCTGAAATTTTGGTGAAAAAGCAAATAATGAATATATTCAACTAAAAATTGGAGCAGTTAGTGAAATCAAATATTCTTCTGCCGAATTAAATTTTGACACAATAATAAGCAGTAGTGCCTTAAAAAGATAATATAATAGCTTAATACAAATGCCCCATTCCATGTTTTTGTATTATCATTGATGAAATAACTTTCGGTCATTCCTTCCGTTCTTTCTTATTTTTTAAATATCCCGCTCTCTTCACCTTTCCATTTCTAGAATTTCTGAAGAAGTAAAATGATGACGGAAGGCAAATTTCCGCAAGTCGAGATTTTGTCTAACATTGGTTTATGATGATGTACTATGCGAGGAAAATATCAAAATCGAACATAGGGTTTATTGTTAGTTTAAATATAGATGGTTGCTGGTTTCCTCTAGAAAACCTCGTATTGTTATGCTCAATTGCCTCTCAGGAATCTCAAAACCTAAAATTAATCCATTTTTCTAGAAATCTTCCTGCTCTTATAGTTGTTGTCATCTTTGCTCTATTGGAAAGCGTTGGAAAGAAAAAATGTTGATATTCAATGTTAAATACGCGATATCTGTAATAAATTTCTGCTCCTTCACATTTCTTATATAAAAAATATAGCATTTAATTGTAAAAGGAATAAAAATGATAAAAATGAAACTGATTTGAATTGATAGCGATCAGGAAATGTTTAGAATTTTGAAAAGCTGCAAATAAAATGTGAAGGGAGGAGTATACCCAAACACTACTGAAGGTGAACGCTGAATACGCGTCACTGATGTATTTGCTTCACTCCGGATTTTTTTTTTTTTTAAATCATTTTAAAAACAACACAAAGTCTCTGTTATCAGAGTTTACTGGATAGCAGGCAATTCAAGCAATGCACAAACTATTTGATTTGAAATGATGGCTATTGTGTTTATTTCAAACCCACAAAAATTTATATTCTCCAACTGAATTTCCTTCCTATTCCCTTCCTCCCCCCTTCTTTCATCACCGTTTACCATTGTTTCGATCTTTAAAGTTCACTGATTTGCAATCAGTTCATTTCACTATTTTAATTAGTTACACTCCGAAAAAGTACACACTTTGAAGTTTTTATCAGCCCAAAAATCATTTCCCATCTGATCATCACCCTCAAAACAATAAATTACGAATTGTTTTGGTATGCTTCACCGAATTATGCTAAAACAGTTCGCAATTTATTGACTAAAATATGTAGTAAGTTTGCATCTATTTTCGCCTCTCAATTTTCTATTTTCTATGCATACAGCAACTGATTAATGAAATAATATTTGAACTTTTTTGAGTGCCAGAATTCTTGAATTTAGCAACATTCCTTACAAAAAAACAAAGGTATAGGAATGTAGGAAGTTTTATAAGTAACCTAATTCTTTTAGCTACTGGTTGTCACTAATTCTGAAGTTCATCTCTTCATTTTTAGAAATGATATACATGTAGTGGCGGTTTGAAGTCTACTAGATGAATTAAGTAAATAAGTAAGATTCAGATGATCCAAAAAATGTTGCTATGTTGCATAAGCTGTGGATGATTTCAAATTTTAAAATAAACGGTGAAATTTTTCCAATTTTAATGAACGATAATTTCAAATGATTTAATGAGGAATAAATGTCTTGAAACAATTAGTTTATGTTTCATTAACAATTTTGATGGTAATGAGATTTAAGGATAAGATAAACTCAGAAGTTATGAACGATCCTGGGAAATGTTGGATTGGCAATAAGCCAGTGAGTTGTTGAGGATTGCAAGGATAGTATCATCGTTGTTGTTTGGGTTAAGGAGTAATATATTATCTCTTTAACAACAACGTGACATTGGAAGAAGGTATACACATCACGTCGAGTCCGCCTGCTGGTAGCCAGAAATATTTTTAGCTTCCATCATTGTGCTGTGCTTTCTCGTATAAACACGAACAAATTCACCTACACACACACACACACACACACACACACACACACACACACACACACACAAGTACACACACGTACACATACATACATACACATACGCATACACACACACACACACACACACACACACACATAATGCACGTGTTAACAAGCCAAGTACACTAATTCCTTTTTTTCGGAAAATTTTTTAAAATAGATTTATGAGGAACTTATTTGATAATGTGGACCTGCCATGTTGATAATCAGTTAAAAGGTACACCGAAATACCACGGCAATGAACGAATAACTTGACACCAATTTTATGTTGGTTAGAAAGTATTTTGCAATCAATGGTTGAATTTCTTGTTGAAAGTTGAAGCTAATAAAGAATCTTTAAAACGAATGGTAATAATAGAAAGATAAGCTGACACGGTTCTTCTCAGCTGAGAAAAGAGTATAGAATGAAGATGTTGGCATTAACTCTCAATCAACTATATCAAATAGAATTTAAGGAACAAATATTTTAAAATGCTCACATTTCATTAGGCTGTAATAAGGGCATACTTACAATTAAATAGTATAGTAATGATACTGTCAAAGAAATGTAATCAAAAAAATCAAATAAAGTCATTTGTTCATAAATCTTAAAAGAAATCATCAAAATGCATATCTTGTTTGTTTGAAGCATAGCAATATGCTGATAATGTATCATTCCAGCATAATGATTTTAAATTTGAAATTTAAAATTCAAAGCGTTCAAACTTTTATTTAAACATTTCAATTTTAAAATAGGAACAACAACAATTTTGTAAACAGCAACACCCACAACAGTTACTTTGTATCTTAGAGTGTAATTAGTAAGCAGAATGGATTATAAATTAGTAAATAAAAAAGTCTCGAATCAATTAAATTATTCTTTTTGCATCCTTTTGGTATATAAAAAAAGAATAATAATTTAATGAACATTTGCACTTTTCGAAATGATAATGCATGTGCTGAGAAGGTAAACCTTGTCGAATGGTATGAACTGATAGAATTAACAATACTTGAATATTCAAAAAGAAAACTAGTAAATGATTTGCTTATTGTATCGGCATGATGAATATTAAATAAATAAAGCGATTAGTTCTCGCAATAAATATGCATTGTTTTTAACTTATTAGTGTGAAATTCAACAATTTCCTGCTCTCCAGTTCTCTTGCATTTCCTCTCGTTTAATGTGTGATGTTGATAATTTTAGTTGAAAGTATAAGTGAACAGGTGCTTAACAGCACTTCACCATTCTTCCCCTATGATTTCGTTTAGAAAATAGCATAAGAAAAAAAAACTTACTCGTTGCTTAACATTTATTTTCACTGTCAATTGTGTGTGGTTGCTGATAATAAATATAATCCAATTTATTCCTACTTCTTCATCCATTTTTCAAAATTCTTCACTGATACCTATAACATGCATGTATGTATACCATACATACATGCATACAGACACACACACACACACACACATACACACAGACATACATACAGATTCATAAATAATCATATAACTAAAATTTTTCCATTTTTTAATTTCTTTCACCGTGTCACCTGAAGATTTCTTATCACAGTTCCATCTGGATGATCCATGAGTTTTAAAAGAAAATACAGATTTAGCTTGAAATGATTTCTCCTGACAACATTTCATCTTTCTTTTTTTTTGAGCAAACTAAAATGAAAAAAGGAAAGATAGA